CGGGCGGGCCGGGTGCTCCGCCGAGCCGCCGCCACGAAGGTTCCGCTCGCGAGCAACACGTGCGCGTGCCGGGCTGAGCCCCAGCCAACCGCCGTCCCGCTCGCCGTCCCGGGACCCTGGGGCCCCAAAGGCCGCCCAGCGAGCCTCAGGACTGGGGCTGGACTGAGACTGGAGCCTTCCCAACCCGCAGTCGGGGGTGACCTGCATCTTCTTTTCCTCCACAAACTCGGAGGGGCAAGACCAAGCTCAGGGCTCAGTGTTGGCTTCAGCCGGCAGCGCGAGGAGGAGGCGAGCTCTGAAGACACATCGACTGGACTTGGAGCCGACTCTGCCAGTTCAGCTGTGCTTGGGCCAAGCCGCAAATCCCTGCCTCTGTTTCCTCACCTGGGTACGTAAAAGGTTCCCATTCTACGAGGTTGCCGTGAGGATTCAAGGAAAAATTGCAAACACAAGTGGTACAGTGCTGGGCACACAGTCAGCTCTTTGTAAATTGACCGCTGCTGCTGGGTGCAGTGGCTCACGCCTATCATCCCAGCACTTTGGGAGGCAGAGGCGAGATGACTGCCTGAGCCACAGGGGTTCGAGACCAACCTGAACAACATGGTGAGACTTTATCTCTACAATAAATCCAAAAATTAGCCGCACGTGGTGGCACCTGCCTATGGTTCCGGCTACTTGGAAGGCTGAGCCTAGCAGGTTGATGCTGCGGTGACTGTGAGTGTGCCACTGCACTCCAACCTGGGCAACAGAGACACCAACTCAAAAAAAAAAAAAAAAAAAAAGCTGCCATCCAGGAAAGGGTACTTTGGTGGAGTTGAGGTGGAACTGAAGAAAAGAACAAGAGGCTGAGTTCCCTTATCTGCCCTGTCACCGTGGGAATTTATCTGTCCCTCACCCCCATCCCTCCTGCCAGCCTCCCACTTGGGAAAAAGAGTGTCAGAGTTGTTAGACTTGATTCATTCTGCTCTACCAGGCAAACTTCTGTTAATCTTCTTGAGTCCTTATGATTATTTATTATCTCCACTTTAAATTTGAGGGAACTGCCAGGTGAGAGCCACTGTGCCTGGTTAAATCAGGTAGTTTTGTTGCACAATGTATGTGTCTCCCTGATCTGCTTCAGAGAGGCTTCACTACAGGTGGGAAATAATTGGTCCCAGCAACTCCTTTACCTTTAAATCCAGATGTGTACAGCCCACACATTTATCCTCCTGTCAACTCTCTCAGGACACTACACCCCACACCAGAACCTTGGCCAATCCAGCCTAGATTTGGCTGATGACAAAGGCTAATGATGGAAGTAGGGATGTGGGACTGTGTAACCTGGAGAGCGCAAGCCTGTGGAAAGGGGGACAGCCACTGCTCAGAGAATTGTCGCCATGTCAGGATGAAGCTCCCTTTCAGACAATCAGATCTCACCATCTCAAGAAATCAGATTTTGCATAAACATCCAGAGTAACTGAAATGTGACATCCAGCTGAAGTCACCTTGTTGAAATGGGATGAGAATGGCCCTCAACCCTGGAGTTTTTTTTAACCTCCATCTAATCGTGAGAAAAAGACAAATCCTAGCTGAGGGAAACTCCATAAAAATACTGACCTGTACTCCTCAGAATTGTCAAGGAGCTCTCAAAAGCAAGGAAGGGGAAGGTCTGAGAAACTGTCACAGCCAAGAGGAGCCTAAGGAGACTCAGTAACTAAATGTGATGTGGAATCCTGGAACAGTATTAGGCAAAAACTAGGGAAATCTGGACAAACTATGGACTGTAGTTAAAAATGATATACCAGCCGGGCTTGGTGGCTCAGCCTGTAATTCGCGCCTTTGGGAGGCTGAGGTGAGTGGATTGCCTGAGCCCGCAGGTTCGAGATCCGCCTGGGCAGTGAGATCTCATCTCTACAATAAATCAAAAAATCAGCCAGGCGTGGTAGTGCATGCCTGTAATTCCGGCTACTTGGAAGGCTGAGGCGGAAAGATCGCCGGAGCCCAGCAGGTCCAGGCTGCAGTGACTGGGAGTGGCCACTGCACTACAGTCTGGGTGGCAGAGTGAGACTCCAACTCAAATAAATAAATAATATACCACATCGGTTGCAGTGGCTCAAGCCTGCAATACCAGCACTTTGGGAGGCGGAGGCGAGAGACTTGCCTGAGTCCTAGGGTTCAAGACCAGTCTGGGCAACTTGACGAGACCTTGTCTCTATAATAAATCGAAACATTAGCTGAGCATGGTGATGCTTATCATTCCGGCCACTTGGAAGGCTGAAGCGGAAGGATCACCTGAGCCCAGCCGGCTGAGGCTGCAGTGGCCGTGAGCATGCCACTGTACTTCAGCATGGGTGAGAGTGAGATTCCAACTCAAAAAAAAAAAAAAAAAAAAATACCAACCTTCTAAGTAGCTGGAACTACAGGCACATGCCATCTCACCCGGCTAATTGTAGAGACAAGGTCTCACCAAGTTGCTTGGGCTGGTCTTGAACTCAGGCAAGCCTCTCGCCTCGGCCTCCCAAAGTGCTGGGATTACGGGCATGAGCCACTGAGCCTGGCAAAAAATATTTTTTAAATATGAAGGCCAGCCGGGCTCGGTGGCTCAGCCTGTAATCCCGCGCCCTTGGGAGGCTGAGGTGAGTGG